CTGATCTCAAGCCTCCCAAATAGCTAAAATTACAGGTGTGAGCCACTGGCACCCAGCTATTTGTAAGGTTCTTAGGTGTGAAATGATACAATATAACTTAGAGGTAAAGGAGTGATAAAGATTATACTGTAAGCCCTAAGCAAGTAACACACACAGACACACACAAACACACGCACACACACGAATGAAAAGATAAAATGGATAATGTAATCATAAAGACTTAACCCAAAAGAATAAGAAAATGTAAATTAAGAATGGATAACCCAAAAAGAAGGTTTAAGCCTAACTGTTTCATTAAACACACAGATTAAACAATAGCCCCAACAGACAGCAAAATCAGGTTGGATAAAACAGCAAGATATGACTATTGGTGCAAAAAGGAAATTCATTTTTATGTGTAAAGAGACAAATAAATTGAAAGAATAAAAAACAGTATATCATGTTAAACAAAAGAAAGTTGGAATGGTGACATTAATATCAAACAAAGTATTTCAGGAAAAACAGTATTACAGGAATAAAGAAAGTCATTAATAATAACAGCTCATCAAGAGACTGTAACATTCTCAATCTTTAGGTCCTTAATAACAGAGCTTTATAGAACTACAAGAAGAAACCAATTAATTATAGTCTATCAGCAGAACAAGAGAGAAAACAAGTAGAGATATTTGACTTTAGCAATATTATCAAAGCTCTGTCTGACACTCTCCCCCAAAAAAGCAACTTTTTCCAAATATACATAGAACTTTAGTCAAGAGAGACTACACTTAAGCCAAAAAACAAGTCTCAGTAAGTTTAAGGGATTCAAGTCAAACAAAGTAGGTTCTTCTGCTTAGAAGAAAATGGTTATATTAAAATTAGAGCGGTCTCAAATCGGTGGCCTAAGCTTCTATCTCATTTAACTAGAAAAAAGAATAAAACAAAGCCAATGGGAGCAGGAAGGCAACCAGAAAAATAAGAAAAGCAGATGAAACAGAAAACAGAAAAATGACAGAGAAAACTCAGTGAAACAAAAAGCTGGTTCTTTGAGAGTATCAATAAATTAATAAGTCTCAAACAAAATTGATAAGGAAAAAACCCAAAAACCCAAATTCCCAAAACATCATGAATGACATAGGGGAAGGACCATCACTATAGATCCTAAAATCATAATGATAGGATACTATAAACAAAACTTGTCCAATAAATCTGAAAACTAGACGAAACAGACAAATTCCTTAAAAGATAAAAATTATCAAGTTCACTTGAGAAGAGATAGTCCTATATTAAAGAAATTATATTTAGCTAAAAACTAAAGAAAATTCCAGGCTCTATGGTTTTACTGGTGAATTCTTCCAAATATTTAAGGAAGGTATAATATCAATGTTAAACAAATTCTTCCAGAAAACTAAAAAAGAGGAAACACTCTCCAACTCATTAAGGCCAGCATTGCCTTGATATCAAAAGCCAAGATACTACAAGAATACTACAGATCATTATCTGTCATCAAATATAACAAATTAGCAGCAAATTTAATTTAGCAGCATATAAAAAGCGTAATACATCACAACCTCATGGAATTTATCATAGGGATACAAGGCTGAGTCAACGTTTTAAAACCAATAGATATAACTCACCATATCACAGATTAGAGAAGAAAAATTATATGATCATCATCCCTCTGATGCAGAAAAAAACCTATGACAAACTCTGATACCCATTTATCATGAAAACTCTTTATCAAACTAGGTATAGAATTTACTTGAGAAGGAGTGTCTAAAAATACCTTTAGACAATACTGAACTTAATTGTGAAAGAGTAAGTAGGAGAGTGCAAATGAAAATCACAGCGAGATATTACTACTAATGAGGAAATCTGAAACAGTAAGATGCAATTAACAAATTCTGGTGAGGATGTGGAGATGTTGGACCTTGCAATATTGCTACTGGGAATGCAAAATGGAACAGACACTTTGAAAAAGACTTTGGCAGTTTCTCATAAAAGTAAATATACATTTACCATATGACCCAGCCATTCACCCAAGAGAAATGAAAATATACATTCATACCAAAACCTGTATGCAGCTGTTTATAGCATTCTTATTCATAAATGTTAAAAAATTGAACTAATCTAAATATCCTTCAAATGAGTGGACTAAACAAACCATAATATATCCATGCAGCAATAATATCTACTCAGCTGACATGATTCTCAAGTGCATGATGGAGTGGAAGACATCAGACTGAAAAGCCTATAAACTGTATAATTCCACTTATATGTTATTCTGGAAAAGGCAAAACTAATGGGGAAAAAAAAAAAAAACCAGATTAGGAGTTGCCAGGGACTGGGGGTGGGGAGAAGAGCTGGCAAAATGGATAAATTTGGCGGGCAGGGTATAAAAACAGCTCCACACTTGATTGCGGTGGTGGTGACATGATGATATTTTTTCATCAAAACTCATAAAACTGTACAATAAAAAAGGTGAACTTTACTGAGTATAGACTGTTACTTGTTACTACACATCATTTCATAAAAAGAAAAAAGTTATTAAGTACTTGCTATACTCTGGCTAGATAACTGAGATATAAACTTGAAAATATAATCACTGCCCTTCAGGAGCTGAGGGATAAGTAATAACCATCACCATTAATAATAATAGTAGCTAACATTTGAATGGGGTTTATATGGCACACACTGTTCTAGGTACATCATCACACACATTTACTCATGTGGTCCTCACATCAGCTCTATCAGGATTTCCCTCATTTTACAGGTGAGGAAATTAAACTAAGGAGACAATGACTTGAAAGGCCCATCATCACATGTAGCAGAAGTAGAGATCCCAGATTATAAACCATGAGCTTTGGTTCTTGCCTCAGTACTTTGGAATTCTTTTTCCATTTACTAAGAATTGGTCATTCCAAATTATGTGGCAATTTATGGCAAAGTTGAATTTTAGCTATTCAGAATGGGGTTGTGTGAAATAAACTATTTTTTTAAGGGGTGTGTGTTTGTGTGTGTGTGTTAAACACAGTGTGTATCTTAGGATGCCTTTTCTGCTGAAGCTTCGTGTGTGTTTTTCAGTCTGAGGAAGAGCCTAAATTATCCAATTGCAGCTCCTGAAATGACCGGTAGGGAAAAGGGAAAAGGAGGGAGAGAAGAGAATAGACATCTACTGAGATTCAGAAGCAGGGACACCACAGCTCACCCTTCCTTCAAGGTGGCAAGGGGGAAATTCCTAGTTAAAATGACCACTTTATCTACAATTCCCCCAAAATTCAAAGAATAAAAACAAAACAAGAAACACCAAATGTGCTTGAGAAACTTCTGTTGGTAAAGTCAAAAGGTAAGGAAAAAAACCCAGTGGAAATAAAGTGAGGACGGATGGTGGGCTAGGACTTCTGGGGTGCTGTTTATCTTCTATTTCTTGACCAAGGTGGTAGTCTGCAGGTGTGTTCACTTCAGGACAATTCACTTACGCACTTTTATGGACCTATGTTATACTTCAATATAACAAAAGTTAAAAAAAAAGTGGAAGGGAAAGGATGTAGAAAAAAAACATCTTATTGGTGACTTGCTTAAATTCACATAGATAAGTAGATAATAAATTTTAATATCCACAGAAAATTTTAGAACACTCTTAGATTTCACATCAGTGTTCTGGAATTAGAAAGCAGGACTGGGGGGTATGGGTCAAATGGTACAGCACTTGACTAGCAAATGTGAGGCCTTGAGTTCAATCCCCGGAACTGTCCCCCCCAACCTCCCACTACCAAAAAAAAAAGAAAAAGAAAACGCTTTCATATACTGGTACTTGTAAGACATAAGGTCCTTGACAGCATGAGACCAAATCACCCCATAGGGAAAGAAGAAAGCATCAGTGTATCAGATCTAGAACTGGAGCTGATGCTGTTTTCTGTACCAAAGAAAAGCAGTCAGCATGGCACCTTCTAGTTTCCATGCAGGGTTTTTAGCTAGTCAGTGGTTCTCAATCTTGGACATGCTGTGGCATCACCTGGGAGATTTTAAAACATTCTGATTTAATGGGTCTACACTGGAGAATGAAAAAATATATATAAAATGTTTTTGTTTCTTGAAATAGGATCTCACTCTGTAGCTCACGTTGACTTTGAATTTGTGATCCTCCTGCCTCAGCTTCTTTAGTGCTAGGATGACAACTGTGCACCACCACACCTGATTGAGAACTGTTTTTTAAGCTCCTTACTTTACTGGTTCTAATGTGCACCCAGGATTGAATATTAATATCAGCTATTATTGCATCTTCTTCCACTTTCTGTTCTTTCTCAACTCTCATATTTTGTATTTTTATACCCCAGCTAATGAAATTATGATTACTCTAATTTAAATAATTCTTTACTTTCCTAGTATTAGTTATTAGCACCTCTTCATACAGTGTAAGCAAAGTTGAGAAGACTGATCACTTTTCTGAAGAAAATCAACATACTTATCTAAGAGAGGGCATGCTGATAAAAATAGGGAAGAAAAAGAAATTAAGATAGACAACACTTGGTGGTAAGACAAGTAGATGATGTTAAGGAATGGGCATCAAACTCCTGCCAACCTAACTCATATTGTAGAAATAGTTCCACAGTCACCAATGTAAATGATCTCAAATATGGACAATCAAAGCTACTTCTCCCTTAATACTATCCCTGTTTTGTTTGGTAAACAGGCTTCAGAGAAAGATAAAGGGTCTTTTCAAAGGAGCAGGGATGCATTTCAATACTTAGGTCCTTTCTTAACACTGGAGTCTTACATAGCTATAATGTGTCACTTACACTGTAACCTAGCAACATGTCTCACAAAAGGAGAGTATGTGATGCCAAGTAGGGCCTTAGCTGGGTGTTTAAACTCAGTCATGAGGGAGCTAGCTCTGGAGAGTCACACTCAAAAGAAACCTTACATGAGAAAAAGAGTGTGCTATAGTACTAGGTTTTTTCCTCCCCTACGAAAGGAAGGCAGGCAAGGAGGCAGTTTTTGCTCCAAAATCTTATCCAACTCACTTGTTTTTCACCCCTGAAGCTTCAGTGTAACCATGACTCCACACTGCTGGGGCTCCAGATGCATCTCCTGATGAAGGTTGATCAATCTTGAAGCAGCGGATGTTGCTAACAACAGAAAAAGGGAAAAGGAATCATTAAAAGCAAACAGGTATGAATTGCTACCTTCATTTGAGAAATGAAAAATGTCTGCACTCTCAACTTCTCATTTCTTATTGTGTCTGAAATATGTATCAGTAACAAGAACCAGCTATTCTACTCATAGTGAAGACCAAGGGGCATGCATACACAGCATGAAAATTAGTTTTCATGAGCATTTTCAAACAGCTATTAGAGACTGTCATACCCTCCACACTAGATGTCTGCTCTCCCTTCTGGAAATGAAAAGGACAACTCTCAGCCTTGGCTTAAAAAACAAAAGTTACCTATTAGATTGGGTGTATTCTTGTGCCATGAACACCCAAATTACATTGAAACTTGAAAAGACCAAATTATATTGTGGGTAGGTGATGTGAAAAAATTCTGCAATATTCATTTCTGTATCCCATTTCTGCTCATATTGTCCCTTCAAATATTTAGCAAGCATCACTAAGGACTTGCCATTCCCTGAATCTCCCAGTTCTTCCCTCACTAGTATAAGCCATGCATGCTAAGACTTCTAGGATAAAAGAAAATGTACATGTAAAATTAAAAAGTAAATGAGGGCCATGTCAATAAATTACAAGTTAACTACATGTATTTAAACTGTGAGATTTAAGTTCTCATCTCAGCTCTTAAATTGGTTGAACAGGACCCAAAACAGATATACTATGAAAAAAATAAAAGTATACTCTCAAATGGTATTTCTCCCTCCTAAAATAGAGTTTCTTAAAAACCAGCCTACTAGAAAGCATTCAGCACCCCCAAATGGGACATCATAACAGATGTAAAGTTCATCTATAGAAAGACTGGCTACCACATGGTAAAATAAATCCTGGTACTTTTTGCAAATTGCCACTGGGAAAACCCGTATTATTTAAACAGATGAAAAAGCCATGCACCATCTCTTAACAACTTACATACCTAAATACTCTTGTCATGACTCCAAGAATTTAAATTATCTGTTGGATGCATTCATTAACTCCTAAATCTAATAAATACTTAATACTCTTCCTAAGAACTAGTTAAAACTCTAGGATGTAAATCAGTATAATCACTTTGATTATAGAAACAGGTGAAATTTTAAAATATTTAGTTGAAGAAAAGATTCTACCCTTAATTACTAGCAAATATTTGCTCCCCAACCCATCTGAAATAGCTGAAAAAACATTCAAACCATAGATGCTGTCAACATGGAATCCCCAAATCAAATTAATATCTCATTTTAGAGTAGGGCTAAAAATCCTCTTTCCAAAGTTTTCAATATCATCAATAAAAGAAACGCAACAAAAAAGACAGTCTACTATTATTTGCTCTCTATATGAGCTGGTACTAAATTTTAGGGATTCTTAAAAGCCATCTGTTACTACATCTTTGCTACCTTCTTGAATTCTAGGGAAAAGTAAATGCTCATTTCCAAAGACACTGATAATTACAGACTAGAGTGTCACAGAAATAATTCCATTTCCTAGCCTGATCATTATAAGAAAAAATAATCCCACTGTTCTTGCCCCATTCAACAATCCTTTCTAGTGAAGCAGTCATTGCTCCTTCTCTGGCTTAGCTGCACACAGAACAGCCTAGCTGCACACAGAACAGCCGAGCTGCCATCTGAAGAGTGCTGCATGTTGACTCTTGGGCATCTTCAAATGAGGCCGAGAGTTTGGAAGCTCAATCCCACAAGAGTTCTCATATGCACTCACCCTGGCTCCTGGAGAACAAATAAGTCAATCATAAAACCACACGTAATATGTGGACGCTCTCCTGAGTTATTAAGCACCCACGCCCTGCTGGATGTTAAGCAGAAAGTAACATTTTCCATATTATGATTCACTGTCCATTACTATTTCTTAAAAAAATCTCAGAGCACAATACCTTCACAATAGTTTGGCCATCCAAAGATGTACCCATTGTAGGAACTTCGACAAACAGATTTTCATTTATGTATATATAATGGTGGGTCATTTGTTCTGTTTCTCTCTGGTTTGCGTCTTTATTCTAATTGTCTCATGAATATTTTCTCAGGTTTTTTATGTTTATAAATATAATTAGAAATACCTTGCTTTAAACGAATACTATTTGTGGGGTTTTTAAGGCACTACACATTTAACTTAGAGCCTCCTGCCTGCATTTAATACATGCCCTTTTGTTTTTATTTAGTTGTGAGATAGGGTCTCACTAACTTTTACCTGGGCTGGCCTTGAACTTGAGAGCCTCCTGCCTCTATCTCTTGAGTAGCTGGGATTACAGTTGTGCACCACCACGTCTGGCTTCTGATTTTTAAATAAATTTTTCCTGTAGAGAACCTTGTTCTGAGTACACAAATATTTTGAAAAACTTGATAGAGTGGGCAAGTTACTTTTAAGAAATCTATGCCAATGTTTATTCCTCTAGTAGCACCAAGTTGAAATGTTATTTGAATACTTTATTATTTTCTTGATATACTAATAAGGTTGAACATCTTTTCATGCAACTACCTGTACTTCTTATGTTAAATGTTAATGTCCTTGGCTCATTTTCTGTTTAATGAGAACTTTCCTTACAGATTTTTAAGAGCAATTTCTAGTAAGAGTATCAGGGAAGCAGGAACAGCAGGAGAGGGAACAAAGAGACTGAAATGGAGGTGAATGTGATCAAAGTTCACAAAACAGGTATGAAAATGTCATAATGACTCATTTTGTACACTTAATATATGCTAAGAAAAAAGAATATTAATGCTTTTAACTTTTATGTTTTTGGTGGTCCAAACTGATGAATAAAGTCATGAAAAGTAAAAAAAAAAAAACAAAACTTTTATGTTTTTGTTAATGTTCTCTTTTATATTTACTCTTGGTAGTTTTTGGAATAGATATTTTAAATAGTCACATGTAATATTTATGTATAAATATGTATAACAAACATCAAAAATGATCTATATGTACTGATTTCTTGAGAACCACCCCTTTTAACCTAAAAAGTCCTTTTTTAGCTTGTGAATACACTCAGGTGATTTTATTTTATAGATTTAACTCTTTAAATCAGCTAGAGTTTATTTTGATACAGCTTTTTTCTAAATAGCTAATTCTACTCTCTGACAAATCTTGACACAATTCTTAAACACAAAAATTTCGTATATTTGTACAAATTCCTCATGAAGATGGAAATACATTTTGCTGAGTCATGTATTCTTGGTCTTGAAAAGTACTTTGAGATCATGCTTGCCATCCTTCTTATCTTACAGGTGATGAGGTCACTGAGGTCTGGTCTGACTGGGGGAATTAGGCCAAGGCTTAATGGATAAAGTCAGAATTGTTAAAACAGTGGCAAGAACATAGGTTCCCATGTCTTCCACAGGACACCATGCTTAGGCAGATGTCTTTAGTTATACACCAAAAACATCTTTAACCACCAAGTACTTAAAACATCAAGAGGCATTAATTAGGCCAATTCTATCCAGGAATCCCATAAGAGCCCTTCGAATTTCAGTTTGCCCTAAACCAAAGATAGTACTAATGGACACTTCACCAACATTCTCTTCTTTACAGTTTTCTTCTAAGATAATGGAAGATGGTTTTCATCAATAAATAGTTCAACACTTTAGAAACAGTAACGTGGGTCAATGTTCAATACTGCTGCTTTCAGAAAGACTGCAATAAAATGAAAATTCAGAAGATTCTGAAGAAAATAAAGACCACTCACAAACCTTAAAGAATACTATTTTAATATTTTGTTACTTATCTTTTCAGGCATGCACACACATTTATTTTGCAAAATTGGGATTGTATGTGTACAAATTTCTTTGTAAATGTTCTTTTCACTTAATGCCATACTAATGCCAGTTAATTAGGGTTATAACTCTACATTGTAATTTTAATATTCAACAGTGGAGTATAATTTATTTAATTCTACTAACAGACATTTAGAATTATGTGATGAACATTCATATAGAACATTTTTTCTTCTGATGTTACCTTAAGCAAATTTCAATCCAAAATTCTTTATTACCACCAAGGATGAAGCATTGTTAATGAACTCCTTCCCAAAACACGAAGAGAACTTCAGCAGGATCTAACTACTCCACATTTCCAGTTTTGTTTAAACATTAGTCTAGATTATAGTTCTAAATTACTAATTTCCACCACATCATCTGTCTCTTTCAAAATCCTTCCTAGTATTTGCATTAGGTGTCACAACTGTGGTTATCGGTACTATTGAAATTTAAGTTTATATCTTGGTTGTTCCTTGCTCTCCCTCTGTCTTCTGTATCCTACTATGTGTATAGGTATAGCTAGTATCAACAGACACTTCACATTTTGTTTCATGTTTTCACCAAGGTGTAAGTCCCACTGCCAGTGAACACTGTTGGGGATACAATGCCTTACAAAATACTTACTTCAGCAGCTCCAGGGTTTTGTGATCGAGGGCAAGGCGAGGGTTTCCAGTCAAGTCTAGCTCTTGTAGTTTGGGAGGCAGGTTTTCTGGTAAAGTGACTTCACTTAGCTCATTACAGCTCAGGTCCACACACTGAATGAACAAGTGGAAACAGGAAAGGGATGATCTGGAGTTCTTCTGTTCCACACTCCTACCTTCTACAGGTTAATGAGTCTGACCATTTATTGTAGGCACACTGGTCAAAATAGGAAAGCAATTCATCTGCTACTTTGCTACATAAATTTGAGACAGATTTTAATAAATAATTTTTCTCTTACTTTCTCTGACTAACAGAGAATCCATGGTCCATCCTTTTCATTAGTTTACCTCTATATTTAAAATAAAGCATTAACTGAAAAATCCTGAGAATATATGTTTTCTTACAGCTTACAAAATCTGTGTCTGTTATGATTATGAGAGCTATAGTTCCAACATTAAAATGAACTTCGTATGGCTTTCTTAAAACCAAACTAAACCAAACAAAAACCCTCTCTAAATGAAGAATAAAAATGGAACACACACTCAAAATGACGTAATACTTCAAAAGAAGCTCACTAAGAAATCAGCAAAAGTCAGATGAGAGGTGAGCCTGCCCACTAAGGAAGGAAAACAAGGGCTAAATCAAGTATGGATCCTGCCCTCAAAGCATTAAAGGAACAGGTGCCAAATCTAACTAAAAAGCAACCACAAAAATGATGATCATGTTGATTAGAACAAAAACTAGGGGCCAGGCAAGGTGGTGTACACCTGTAACCCCAGCTACTCTGAGGGCAAAGATCAGGAGGATGGCACTTAAAGGGCAACCCTGGGCAAAAATCAGTGAGACCCCCATCAGAACAACAAGCTGAGTATGTAGCTGTTCCACCTATATGGGAGAGGACCGTGGAACGAGGCTGGCTCAGGCAAAAAGCGCGAGACCTTCTAAAAAAAAAAAAAATAACTAAAAGCAAAAAAGGGTTGGGTGCATGGCTCACATTGGAGAGTATCTGCCTAATCAGTGAAGGCCCTAAATTCAAACCCCAGTAACAAGTGTCACTTGCAGATGGGAATAATACTCTCTCACAACACCCACCTAAGGCTTAAGTGACGTCAACTCTAAAAAAAAAGTTGTGTTTCTGTTCTGAGAGCAGAGAGCCTAAGGGGACAATGCTTACCATGCAAAAGAGAAAGCAAGAGTGACTGGTGAGTGTGTTACATTCGAGAATATGGAACCCACAATTTGATAGAATGGGGTGGAAAGCTTTTAATTATCTGGATTGAGTTAGCAACTTACAATTTTTAAAAAGAGCTTAAAGAGCCTACTAAAAATCTCAAGATGGTTTGGAAGGAGAATTGCATCCAAGAATTTCAGTATCTTAAAAGTAGATAAAATCTTCCTCTTATTTGGAAAAATTCTTAAAGAAGGCTATTTCCTTATTGGGGTTAGTGGTGTTTTTGGAGAGACAAATTCTCAACAGACTTCAAATAATATAATGCTTCCAAACAAAATGTTTAATACCATCATCATATTACCATTTTAAATAATTATATTTTATAATGAGAGCATTAGAATTATGTTTTTAAAAGTTTAGAAAACAGAGTTTAGAAAATTTATCCTCAAATCTGTCACCCCAATTCAACCAGTGTTAGCATTCTGAGTTTTTCTCTTCATTACTCATTACTAGCATTTTAAAAATACTTTCAAAATCATAATTGTAGGTACAATTTCATTACATGCCACTTACTCTTTTATCCCTTTATAGCCTCTATTTCCCTATCTTCATTCTCATCTATTATAGTCTGTTTGTGTTATAGTAGCACCAACAGCCTAAAGCACCATTATCTCCAATAACCTCATACTAATTCTAGTAGATATATATTAATTCACTTAACCTAAACATTAATTAAAAGGAAATAGTTATCTCATTTTCCAATTGTAAGTACGGGCTGCATGAACAATTAACAGTACTTTAATGAAAACTATGGAAAACTTTTAAAGCCGATTGGTTAATAATGGTCTGTGCTATCAACATAGTACATATACCAACACAGTAAGACAAGAAGGGTGTAAATACAATCTACTGATGGCGATGGAACATGAGCTAAAGGACCAAGAGGTTAGGGTAACTCAGGATGTAGGGAATAACAAACAATCACAGAGAATGTCTTATGTCATAAGACTCAAGACACTGTAAAGCACTGCTGAATTTTATGAAATTGATAGAAACAATTTTTAACACTGCCCAAAGATTTAAACTTTCAGAGTTCTGCAGATATATAGAGTTCCACGGGGTGAATGTTTATAAAGATGTTGCTGCTGGTTGTGAAACAGATCTTCTTAGATATGATGCTTCTGTACCACCCCCTGCCCAGGCCCATCTGCTCACCAGGCTTCCTTGACTGATTCATTGCATCAGCTCCTATCCATCTAGTTCTAGTACCTTGGTTCTGACTCAAACCACATTTCCTCTGGAGTACTCTAACTGCATCATAATGCTGACTTCAGTCTTGCTTCCCTCCCTCTGACTCACTCCTCATAATACTGTCAGAGTTATTTCTCTAATGCGCTTTACCCCATACAACTACATCCTAGCTTCAGTTTTATAATTGCTCCAACTGCTCTTAAGCCTACTCACTGAAATCCTCAAAAATAAGGCTCTTCAGCCCTTTCACCCCTTGTTTCTTCACATCTGTTTCATCCATGTCAGAGCAACTACAGTTCCTATCCATCTCAGGTTCTCATTTGGTCTGTGCCTTTCCATATGTTACTCTTTGTGCCTGGAACTTGTTCTTTTTTAGCTTTTCATGCTTTTTATCTATTAAAATCCCCTTTTTGGGGGGGGGGTTGGGACTAGGATTTGAACTCAGGGCTTTGTATTTGCAAAGAAGACACTCTACTGCTTGAACAACACCTCCAGTCCATCTCGTTCTGGTTATTTTAAAGATGGAGTCTTTTCAACTATTTGCCAGGGCTGGCCTTGAACATCAATCCTCCTAATCTCAGTCTCCTAATTAAAATAGGATTACAGATGTGAGCCACCAGCACCTGGCTGCCACATATTCCTTTTAAGACTCAACTCAATACCAACTGTACTACACTTCTATTTCAACTAGAAATCCCTTGTTTTAATTATCTGCTTATTTATTTCTTCCACTAGACTTACGACCTTCCAGAGAACAAGGACTGCTTCTTTTCCCCTTATGTCCTAATCAGTGTGTAGGAAAGAGTAGATGCTTTACAAATGTATTCACTCAAAGAATGAACAAAACAAAAACTGTCTAGCACAAAGTAGACAATGACTTTGTTGAATGGACAAATGGGTAAGTGAATGAATCTTGTAAGGTTTTTCAGTAATTAAATCTGCTAGACTGGGAATTAAAATGCAGGTGCTTAGGTTTAAAGTTTAGCCTAGAGTAAACAGCAATGCAATAGAGTTGGTACATTTTAAATGTCATTGTCTAACTCTGTATGAGAGTTCAACTACTTTCACTAATGGCAGAAAAGCAAAGACGTATCCTTTTATATTTCTGCACACTGAGGGCAGTTTGTTCATAAAAATTACAGGAGGCTGACATCTGTTGCCACTCAACCCTATCCACAAATACTACACTACAGGATGAGAGTACCTAATCCAAATGTTTGGGACCATAAGTGTTTCAGATTTTGGGCTTGCACAGATTTTAGACTATTTGTACAGACTTTACTGGTTGAATACCCCTAAACTGAAAATCCAAAATTTGAAATACTCCAAAATGCAAAACTTTTTGAGCATCGTGATGATGCTCAGTTCTATTCTTTTAATAGTCCTCAATACTAACCGATAGTTAAAGCATTCAAAAATATTTGTTAGCTGATCCACTCTAACGGATACCACTAAAAAGCCCCCAAAATATTTGGGTGAAATAACAAAAAAAAAAAATGCCAACACATTCTATGTTGTTAATGTACATACCTCTATGCTTAATAAACTACACTTTTCCAGGCCCATTCCAAGACACAGCTAACAAACACAGCTTTGTTATAATCAAAATTCTGGTAAAAATACCCCAAACAGAATTAGTCAACCATCAGAAAAAAATGAGACAATTCACAGTTGAGAAGGAAGTCATGATTTCAGAGGAAAAATTATAGAGATATATATTAGATAAGAGCATGCAAAATTAATCAGTGCCATCTTAAAGAAAAAGGAGCATCATCTGATGCATAGTTTAATTATCACAACAGCTCCATGGAGTATTTATTATATTTCTTTACAAAACATTACTGAAGCCAGGCATGGTGGCACATACCTGTAATCCCAATACTTGGGAGACTGAGGGAGGTGGATTGCAAATTTGAGGCCAGTCTATGCTACATAGCAAAACTCTACCTCAAAAAAACAACAGAAAATGTTACTGAAGAAGTAGACATATCAATTTTTGTATCAGTATTACATATGAGCCAAATGGCTGCCTATATTGTCCTGAAATATCACCTTAACCTACTGGCTCCTAGAAACTCCGCAAAACCTCGCTTCCTTCTTTCTTCAGATGACACCAAGTCCACCCCTCACCCCAACAGTTCCAAAAATGAGACTCCCAGTCACATTCTGCATTTCCCTGCCCTCGTAAGTAAAAGCTGGCACACATGTTTCCCCATAGATGAGATCCACTAGTTTTGTTCATTTTGAATTCATAAAAAGCAACTAAGTCCAAGTGTGCATTCAAAAGAGCATGTATTAAGCATCTAAAAACTGGCAGGGATAGACAGACATGGGAGGCACAGCCCTCGCCCTTCAGGCCTCCCAGGTTAGTGGAGAAACAAACAGCACAACCTATAGCTCCTATGACCAGTAGTATGGCAGAAGTGCACACAGGTTGGGACAGCCACTAAGACCCCAGAAAGGCCTGCCCAAGAGAAAGGACTCTTGTACAGAATCAAAATTAAAGATAGTCAGGCTGTGAGTACAGGACAGCATCTTGGGAGAGCTAGTAACATGTGTACCAGGACAGAAAAGTCCCTGTGGCTGGCAGGGTCTGAGACCAGAAAGTAAGGTTGGAGAGGCAGAGGGAGACTGAAGAATGACTGCATGTCTCATGAAAAAATAATATACCACCTCCATTTCTTAAATAAG